AGAGCCAGGGCCAGTGATAGGGGCCCCACGCCACAGTTGCCTGGGGCCCCATGCCACAGGGGGCCCCACAAAGCTACATTGTTCAGGCTTCAGCTTTAGCCCCGGGTGGTGGGGCTCAGGGCCCCAGGCTTCAGCCCTAGACAATGGGGTTTTGGCTTTCTGCCCTGGGCCCCAGCAAGTCTAATTCTGGCCCTGCTTGGCGGACCCCCTGAAACCTGCTTGTGGCCTCCTAGGGGCCCCGGACCCCTGGTTGAGAATCACTGTTCTATCATACTATTATCACAGCTAGTGGACCTGTTAAATTTCTTTGAGATTAAAATTCAACCCCTGACCCTTACTTTGCATCAATCAGGCTTTGGAAAACAGCAGGATCCTGAATCTATTACACAGTATTTTATGTCGCCTATGCAGAACATGATTACAGAAGCACAAGTGGTCATTTTCTAGTGCACAGAAGATACCATTCCTTCAGACTCCTAGTAGCCACTTTTTGATATGTTACAATGTATGTGGTTTGGCAATTTCTCTATTCCACTTTTTGAGGAAAGATCAAATTGCATCTCAGTGCATGCTTTTACAATTAGCATAGTTCCTCCAACCCTTCAAAGGTTGCAGTATTATTTTTCACTCCCCTGCAATCTTTTCCCAGACAAATTTCCTTCTAATAATCAATAATACCTACAGGATGCTTTTTGATAAATCCAAATAGTAAATAGATAGATGTTTCCTGGATATATGACACATAACAACACCACTCAATGACTGCTCCCTTCTTACCTTGTCCTGACCATTCTTGCTTAAAACTGGAGGAAACCCTGGTTACATTTACAAATGTTGCTGCTGTGATACATTATTGTGTGCCTGTATAAAACATTTAGTGTCCAGTGTTGCAGCAACTCCACTTGCAAATCGCCCATTCACTTTAATGGGAATTTTGCCCCAAAATAACTGCAGGATTGGCTCCATTACAGCCTCTTATATAGAACAGCAATATAATTTACGTCCCAAATAAATTTGGGGAAATTACTTTATATTGTGTTTTATACACATGAATATGCTCCTCAACACCCCTGTAACTAGGTGTACTGGACTGCGAGTCAAGAGATCTTGGTTCTGTCCCCAGCTCTGCCACTAACTTGCTGTGTGACCTTTTCAAGAGACTTCATTTCTCCTTGCCTTTGTTTCCACCCTCCACTCATTGTCTGTCTTGTCTGTTTCAACTGTAAGTGTAACCCCTTTGGGGTTTAGAGAGCATGGGCCCTTTAAATATTTTTCCTGAGCAGGGGGAGTACTGATTGTTCCAGAAGGAGTTAGTGCTATTGGTGGAAAGAGGGGAGCGGGGGGGAGGGAGAGGAGAGCAACTGCAGCAAGCAGGTCCTCACAGAGTGAAGCAGCCAAAAACCTGCCTGAAGCCTGGGAGCAGCTGATCGCAGACACCCCAGGACAGGAGCCAGGAGGAGCACTGTGCCAGAGAGGAATCGCCCGAGAAGGACAAATCAGAGCTGGACCCAGTATCGCTGCTGCCCAGAGCTGTATGGGGCCATGCGTACTGGGGCTTGTGACTTTGCATTGGGAATAAGGAAGGAGACTGTTAGCTAGTTAAGTGGGGAGGTTGTCGCTCTCTGTGGCTTTGGAGAGAGCCGCAGAAGAGGGCACTGGAGAGGTTTGTTGTGGAAAGTTTACTGGTGCCAAAGATGACCAGGAGCATCCAAGACTCACCACTGGACTGGAACTTTGCTCAGGACTCCTGAACTCTGTGTGCAGACACATTGCTTGGTGTCTGCCCTGTCAGACTGTGCTACCACTGGGCCTGTGGGGCCTTGAGTTGAATGCAACCCTGTTTTACCACTCCCTCTATATTTCCCCGTATTGCTTTTCTCCTTTCATCCCTCTGTTAATAAATATTTTCCTTTCCTATATTGTGTGTGTGTGTGTGTTCATTCACTATGGAGGGGAACAGGGGCCCCTGGGATGGAATCGACGTTCTCTGCTGTGTTCCTGTGTGCGCTGTGTCTCTTGGCCAGAGCTGCCTGCAGAGCAGACTCCATCTTGGCCACGAGGGTGCTAAAGTTACATAAGTTTTTTGCAGCAGTGACTGTTTGCACAGTATCTACAACAATGGGACACAGATCTCAGTTGGGACTTCTAGGAACTACTGTTAATATAAATACGTACATACTATTATTTCCTATACATATGAGGAAACCAAGAAACAAAGGCTTTAGATGACTCTGCCAAAGGTTACAAAGCAGGTCAGCAAAGGTAAGAACAGAACCAAATCATTTGTTTTAACTATAAGGCCACATTTTCTGCCATAGACCACTAGTTGTAGAGACTATCAGCTAGAGCAGGGGTGAGCAAACTTTTTGGCCTGTGGTGGGGAAATTGCATGCAGGTCCATGAATGTAGGACTGGGGCAGGGTTTTGGAGTGCGGGAGGGAGTGCGGGGTGTGGTATGCAGGCAGGAGCTCAGGGCAAGGGGTTGGGGCACAGGAGGAGTGCGAGCTATACGAGGGGGCTCAGGGCAGGAGGTTGAGTGCAGAAAGGGTGTAGGGTGTGGCAGGGGGCTCAGGGCAGGGGATTGGGGTGCAGAAGGGGTGTGGGAGGGGGTTGGGGTGTGGGGTGCAGGAGGGGCTTGGGGTGCCGGCTCCAGCCCAGCGCTGCTTTCCTGGAGTGGTTCCGGGGTGGCAGCAGCGCGCAGCGGAGCTAAGGCAGGCTCCCTGCCTGCCCTGGCCCTGCACTGTGCCGCTCCCGGAAGCGGCCGGCACTACGTCCCTGCAGCCCCTGGGGTGTGGGGGGTGAGAGGGCAGAGAGCTTCGTGCACTGCCCTTGCCTGTAGGTACCTCCCCCAAAGCTCCCATTGGCCATGCTTCCCCGTTCACAGCCAATGGGAGCTGCGGGGGGCGGTGCCTGCAGATGAGGGCAGTGCATGGAGCCCTCTGCCCCTCTCCTCCTCCAGGGGCTGCAGGGATGTGGTACTGGCTGCTTTCAGGAGCGGTGGAGGGCCTGCGGCGCCATGGTGGTGGCAATCCCACGGGCCGGACCCAAAGCCCCGATGGGCCGGATCCGGCCCGCGGGTCATAGTTTGCCCACCCCTGAACTAGAGAATTTAAGAAACTATTTGCTAGAGAGCTACACAGACTTTTATAGCTAAAGAGATATGCAAGAGAGGTTATATATCACTAGGCAGCTATACAGACTCTTAGGCCCATCTGTACTAGAAAAGTGCACCAATTCAACTAAATGAATCTGGCTAAACATGCACAACCCCCTGAGATAGGCACACTTACACTGCTTTAGTCCTTTCCTATAGCAGTTTAGCTTGCACTGGCAATAATTTTTTTAATAAACATAAACAAGGGTTAAACCAATTTAAATGTGCCTATATTAAGGCTTCACACTGGTTTAACTAGTTCAGTTTTAAATCAATTTAGTTAAACTGGTGCACTTTTCTAGACTAGACAAGGCCAGTTTTAGAGAATGCTTTCTAGTTAGCTGGGGAGACTGTTGTCTATACAGTATAGCTAAAAAAGATTGTTATATATTGAGAGACTTGGAAGGATAGATTTTTATTGATAAATGTCAGTTTCACTTTATGCAGTGTTGTTATAGTCCAGTTGGCCCCAGGATATTAGAGGGGGGGTGAGGTCATGTCTTTTACTGGACCAACTTCTCTTGGTGAGAGAGACAAGCTTTCTCACCAAGAGAAGTTGGTCCAATAAAATATATGACCTCACCCACTTTGTCTCTCTAATTTCACTGCACACCCACAAACCACAGAAACATATTTTCTGTGGATAATACTTGCAATTTATAAGATAGGCAAAATGAGAAAAATGCAGCTTAGAACTTATTTAGAATTTGATTTACTATTTACTTTGTGTATTTTGTCATGTGATGTTGACCTTTTGTGTTTTGATGCTTATAAAGCTTTAGCTTTTTGACTCTTAACCATCTCCTGTTATTAAACAATTACTAGCTAACCCCCCTCCATTGTTTGACACCCCCCATAAGCTCTCACAACTGTAAAAATTTAAAATCAATAAACATTAGAAAAAATGCTTGAAAATAAATGGAAGTCATAAAAAAGGACCATGGAATCCTGCCAAGCCCAGTTCTACACAGCTCTGTACTGTTGTGTGTGTGTGGGGGGGGGGGAGGGGAGGTCGTGGGGCAGTGGGTGGAAGAATGTATACAGTGGGGGTACTGAAAGCTATTAAACCAAATATGATAAAAACAATGAGGAGTCTGGTGGCACCTTAAAGACTAACAGATGTATTTGGGCATAAGCTTTCGTGAGTAGAACCCCCCCCACTTCTTCAGATGCATGGAGTGAAAATTACAGATGCAGGCATAAATCTACCAACACAGGAAGAGAAGGGAGTTACCTTACAAGTGGAGAACCAGTGTTGACAGGGCCAATTCAGTCAGGGTGGATGTGGTCCACTCCAGATAATTGATGAGGAGGTGTCCATACCAAGAGAGGGAAAATTGCTTTTGTAGTGAGCCAGCCACTTCAAGCCAGGGTGATGTCTCACCCCCAGCCCCCCTAGTTCCAGCCCCCCTGCCTTGGGGGTGCAGTCGGTCTAGAGCTAGAAGGGTTGTTGCTCTAGTCCCATAGGGCTGTGAGCCTTGGGGTATGTAGTCAGTATCTGGGGCCCCTTGTGGAGACTGGGGGTGGGGGCAGCACAGCAAACCCCCTCACCCCTGGGCGGGCAGCGCTGGTACTTGCCCTGCCTTCGCCTGGGGCTGAGCCGAGACCGTTCTCTGCCCCTTTGCACCCAGGCGCTGAGCCGCCGTGGCGAGCAGCCCCGCGACAGCGCCCCCTGGCGGGCCCCGTCTGCTCGCCGCCCTCGGCCGGTCTTACCCAGCTCCCGCAGCTGTTCAGTGTCTCCGCCGCCGGGCAGCGGCTGGTGCCCGTGGGAAGCGCCTGCGCGCTGCGGCCGCTCGCTGCCTGCCCCTGGCAGCGTCCTGCCTATTTTAGTCCCAGCGGCCGCGGGTGGAAGCCGGTGAGGGGAGCAGCTGCCGAGTCCCAGCAGCAGCGCCCCGGGGACCCTGCTCGGGGCCAGGTAAGGGAGCGGGGCAGACGCACCCCTCCCCCCCACCCCGCCCGGGCAGCTGCTATGGGGCGTCTCCGGGTAGCGGCTGAAATCGGAGCTGGAGGCGCCGCTTCCTCAGAGCGCCCGGGAGAAACTTCCCCGGGGAGACGCGCCCGGGCCAGCCCCCGCCCGGCCCTTCGCTCCCGGTGGCCCCGCGCCCCGGCTCTATAACCCCCACTGCCCCCGAGCCAGCCAGAGCGGGGTTGTGTCGGGGGCGGATGCGGCTCCCGGGGTCACCGCCCCCCTCGCCTGGTCCCCCGACCCGAGCCCCTGCCAGCTGCGGGGTCCCGCCGCGGGGAGAGCCGGGCTGAGCCGAGCGCTGCTCTCCCCGCCGGGTTCCACTGCCCGGGCGGGCTGCGCTCCCAGCATCCACACCCCGCCCGCAGCGGCGGCGTCCTGGCTCCGAAGCAGCGGGTCGGGAGCCTGAGCGATCCGCTTTCTTGCTCTTCCCCTCACTCCGCTTCTCTTGGAAACAGTGCCTAGTGCAGAGGTCCCAATACAGTATAAGAGCCCCACTCTGCCAGAGCCTCCCCATCCCAATCTCGCAAATGGGCCATCAGTTGTATCGGGCGCGGTTGAAACGGCACATAAAGTTACCATGTTAGCGTGAGAAATATTCCTGTAGGCGTACATAGACTCGAGGATTTTCAGTTCAAACCAGAGAATTTAAATACAGCTCTGCAACCCTCCTCTACTGTCCTGTTCTCATACACGTCTCTCTCTCGGAAAGAATTTCTGTTTAGTAAAATGATCGTTAAATTTAGCTAGATGGTGATTTTTTTAAGGCAAATAAGAAAAATAGTTAATGTCACATAAGAGCTTCAAAAATTTGAAATGTTTTTTTTTCTGGGGCAAGTTGTAGCTCTCGCTAAGTCAGCTCTTACCGAAATGGCTTTAAAACAAAGTGTATTTAAAGCCAAGAGAGGCAAGCAAAGACTGCAGTATTCAGTATTTATGCATATAAACCACACATGAGGTTGCAGGGTTTAGTCAACATTTGATGACCGTTAAGTGACATGAGCGTCTTCAGAACACGTTTTCTTTTTCCCAATAGAAGCTTGTTTAAATTCGTTTGGTGTAGGATTGGTTCAAATAGACGTACTCGAAACATTTGTGTAGTTCTGTAGCACTAGCACATTTTTTTTAAAGGTTGTGTCAGTATTTCCATGTTTTAGGGGGTTGCCACTCTTGTACAATAGGCTTTGCATTAAAATTTAGCATGCTAAACATCCTAGGAAAAGTCATCATAATCTGATAATATTTAGTATGTTTGGACACCACTCAACTTTTAGGGATTCCACTATAGTGTTTTTGATTGGCAAGCTATCCTGCCTTTGCTGTAGTGGTCCTAAAATTGTGGAACACACTCATCCTTGAAATGAGAGTCCCTTCATCCCTTCCCACTTTTAAACAACCTTAAGCTATTTTCCCTAAATATATAGGTTTGAATAGGTGGTAAAGAGAGCATCATTTCTCCCTCCCTGCTTTTTCCTTTTCGATACTCCTAATCTTAAAGGGTTATTTGGCCGCTGGGCGGGGGCAGGGGGAAGTGTGCATGTGCACAATTGTTGAGCAGCACCCTGAGTGCCTTGATAGGAGGGCTGCTTTAGAAAGAACATTATTTTATTATTATTAATGCAAATGTTCAATATCTGAATTTTATTGGCTCTGATTTAAGACCTGTATTTATAGTTTTTCCATATTGTGAATTAAAATTAAGCTTCTGTTATTTTGAGAGAGATTGAGGATTAGAAAGTGACAGTTATAGATGTTTCCCTTAACAGATCTTTTCCATGCATCTGTGTGTTATGTAACCATAACACAAATTTGTATCTGCAGTTAACACCATTCTCGGCACGCATCATTACCCTTATGACTGTTGATACTGTGAGCACATATTAAGAATTTCACTTAACATTGATGCATTTTCTTAATACATAGAATGAATGGACTGTTAATTTGTATCAAGAATATTACGCAGCCCAAGGCTAACAAATATTGCAGTATAGAGACATTTTATTCTAAAGGGGTGCAGGGCTTCATTTGCATAGCATGTCCAAATACATGTTTTCTTCACATGCCTCTGTTTCTCCCTTTAATCCTATTTCAGTAGTAAAAGAAAATTGGGAAACTAAACTACAATGCACCTAATTAGAATAGCACTAGTGGTCTGTTTTCAGCTCTCAAAATTAATAGTTACAGTCACGGCTCTGTTGCCAGCTCTTTGTGCTGCAGGACCATAGCAAAGTAGACTAAACAAAAGTTCTAGAGCTAGATTAAAAAAAACCCTGCAGCCCAATCCTGTAATTAGATCCATCTGTATGGATACAGTTGCAAGACCAGATTTTTAAAAGGCTTTTAGGTACCTAAAGACTCAGATAAGATTGAGTTCAGTAGCAGTTAGGGGCTGGGGGCTAGCCACATATAGCCCTTTGGGGATCTAACGTCCACTTCATGTGCCTACGTCCAAAATTTAGATCCACAAAATCCCCACTCAGCTCCCACCTAACCCTGTAGGCTCCTAAAGTCCCTAGGTACATAAGTTTCCACCAATAAAATTCCCTAGTCACCTAAATTTCTGTCAGTGGGCATATTTAAAGCCACCTAATCCCTGATACCCAGTACCTGATTTGTGCCCTAAACCCCAGCGGAATCCCCAGACCCAATGTTCCCAGCCTATCTGGTAAGCGTGCTATTGGATCAGGCCTTGCACAAAACTGCCACCCTTGTATCCAGTAGCCCAGTGGTAGGGCAGGGACCTGGGGAGTGGGAGACCTGGGCTTAAATCCCTGCTTCAAATAAGGCAGAGGTGGGATTTGGGCCTGGGTAAATTCACTAACTACTGGGTTATTGCGTATAAGGGTGGTAGTGATGGTGGCAGTAGCAGACATCCTTCTGCTGAGAAGGAGCTTAGGCATCTCACTCCAGGGGAGAGTTCATGGGTGTGAATCCTGAGCAGAAGGAGGTGCCTCCATCCAGCCTAGATTTAGGCACCTATGTCCATTAGAGGGACAGGGGGAGTCCATACCCCTCATGGCATTTCCAACAAGTAGTTTAAAGCAGCTCCTGCTCAGAGTGTTGGCTTTTGTGGATCCTGTTCTTAGGCACCTAACTTTCCTCAGGCATTGTATAGGAAGCCTGGGCACCTAACTCACAGCTATAGAGTCCACTAAGTGGCAGGGCACCTAAGTCATATACTCTGCATTGCAATGCCTAAATCCCCGTTGTGGGTCTAGTCCCTGGGCATTTCTGAAAATCTCATTATCTGCATCTTGCTGCCTAAATATCTTTAAAAATTCATCCCTGTAACATATTTAATTCAAAGTATCTTCACTCTTGTTGGTTTAATATTGGTGTTAATATTCTGACCACTTTCCAGACAACACTTCAACAGGTTTTCTTGTTGATTATAGCATCTTGTAGTAGATATAGTGAGACATTGTCAATTTAAGCATAAAAATCCAACTTACTTTCACTGTTTGTTTATTTACTACTTGCTTTTCTCTTAGCTCTGACAGTGGAAAAACAATGACATTGGTTTAATTATAATCAAATTGAGTTTTCAGCCTCCGATTCTGAGTGCTGTAAACTGTGTGTGTGTGTGTGTGTATGTGTGTATATAAAGCAATTGTTTTAATTTTGAATTTTAAAAATGTATCAAACATTTTATTAAGTTTTGTAAAAAGCATCATTTTACAAAATTTAAACGTTGTCATATTTAAGTTGACAACATTCCATCCATTTTTTCCAAATACACAATAGTTTCTGAAGATGAAATTTTATGACTTCTATTTAAAGATCAGTTTTAGAGGGGTTTTTGTAAAGAATATATCTTTATTGCAGTTTGTTAACACAGCATGTTATATTTCAAATTACATTATTGTAGTAATCTTTCTTATAAGCAGGAATCCTAGTTTTCTGTGATAAAAAAACAAAATTCTCTTTTAAACATAAATCCACATTTTTCTGCAATTAAAATGAAATCTGACAGCCCGAACCCCGTCTCCCTAGGCTGACAGCCCGAGTCCCATCTCTGTTTTTTAAAAAAAAAAGGCAAATTCAAGGGGGTTTTTTTTCTGTGGCAAATGGATTTTTAGGATCCCTGCTTATAAGTAAACTGAATTGAAAGCACTAGAAGCATGATCCTATATTCCTTAGCTTCCCATTTACTATGAACTTTTGGTATTTTGAAATACTGAAGGTCCGAAATAGAATTTTTCATGTTTGTGTTATAAACAAGTTAGGACTGAAGGATCTGAGCTAGGACCAGAGGAAAAGACATAAGTTTCAGAATTATGTCTAACAATTTCTTTCCTGTAACTATCTATGGATAAATATCCAGATTGCATACCTAGTTTAAGTAGTATCTCCAGCTGAAATTAGTGGGCAGTCTTGCTTAAGACCCAGTGACACAATCTGTCACTTTGTAGATAGAGTAAATCTATTTCTGCAGGCACTTAGAAGTCTGTTTATCAGAAAAGTTGTGCAGCCTTCTGCTATCTGTCAGTAGCGCTCCTATATTTGTGTGACAGTAATAAGTCAACTTGAACTTTAGAGGATTAGAGAGCAAGATTTTAAAAGGAAAACTGAGCCAGAAGTTAGGTTCCTAAATCCATATCTAGGCACCTGTGAAGGGGTACCACTCACCACATGTGCACCTGGCTAGACATGGGATGTAATGAATGTATGAGTGTGGGTGGGTGGTGGGACAGGTTGGACCCCCCCCCCCCAGGATGTCACCTGGCATGCTGGGACACCACTGAGGCAGACTATTCTGCCAGCCTGGGCCCCCTTTTACCTGGTCTTGCTGGGCATCTTCCAGCCAAGCACACAGGCAGGGCCACCCCCAGCTGCACAGAGACCGAGATCTGCTCTGAGAAGGTTCAGCTTAAGGGGCTTGCCACAGCACCCAGATGTCCACCCCCCCAAAATTGTATGAAATTACCCTCCTCCACATTGAGGGAAGAGGCAATGCACAACTTCTCGCCCCCTCCCCCCAGTTAGAAATCACATAAACTGGGTTATATTGTAAACCAGAAATAAATGTATTAACTATAACAGGTGTATTTTAAGTAGTCAAGGAGGTAGTAGACAGAACAAGGCAGATTACTAAGAAAATAAAACAGCACACAAACTAAGCTAGTTTCACTAAAGAAATTGGTTACATGTAAGTTCTCACCCTAAATGTGGTTCTAATAATCTTCTTCACAGGCCAGATGCCCTTCCAGCCTGGGTCCAGTTCTTTTCTCCCAGTTCAGTCTTAGTTGTTTCCAGCAGTCATCTTGGGTGGGATAGCAGGGGAGAACTGATGACCAGGATTACCTCACTCCGCACCCTTCAATGGGATTTGCATAAGGTGGGAGTCCTTTGTTTCCTACTTTGACCCCCGACCCAGCTTCTCGTGGTAAAGTATAGCATTCAAGATGGGTTCCAGTATCCGGTGACATGGTCACATGCCTCTGTAGGGCCCCTGTAGCCATTCGTCACCGGCTGACTCACATGTTCACAGGAAGACTAAGCTCTTTTACAGTCCATTGGCTCTTGCTGATGGGCCATCAGCACTGTCCAGCTTTTTCATTGTTGTACCTAAAGTGTTAGCAGGTGGCATCACCCAAAATAACATAGTTGAAATATAGTCAATATTCCTAATTTCAGATACAGAAATGATACATGCATACAAATAGGATAATCATATTCAGTAAATCATAACCTTTCCAACGATACCTTACAAGGCCAATCTTGCTTAAAGTACATCTTAGTTATGTTATATTCCTATCACAAGCATATTTTCATATGGAGTATAATATCACAGGAGGGTGTGTGAAAGAGAGAGGGAATGTCTCTACAGGATTTGTTACAATGCATACTCCATAATGTGTAAAGGGAAAAGAGTGTTCACTCTCTGATGCAAACGTAGTTCATTAATGGGAATCAAACAGAACTCCATATAACCTTTTATATTGCAACCAGTAGGGGTCCTAAATACTTAATCTTGTTTTTAGCTACTTTACTTTATTTTTAATATGAAATGAATCATTTTGTTTTTTTCAATTGAAAAATGAATCTTTGTTTATTAACACAAAAACAACAAGGAGTCTGGTGGCACCTTAAAGACTAACAGATTTATTTGGGCATAAGCTTTCATGGGTAAAAACCTCACTTTGTTTATTAAGTATATCAAGTTGTACTCAATCTTGATGAGGAAAGACTGTCTGCAATAGGTTTCAAAAAAGGTAATATCTCCCACCTTCCTTTTTAGTTACCTATTTAATCAGAGTTATTTCACTGTGTTTTGGAATGATATTGGCTAAGGGAAACCAACTTTATTGCTTCTTTTTGTTGTGAAGGTTATTAGCTAAGGGAACAATTTACCAAGGTTCATGGTGGATTCTCCATCACTGGCAATTTTTAAATCAAGATTGGTTGTTTTTCTAAAATATGTTCTGATAATTTGTGCTGGGAAGTTCTATGGCTTGTGTTACACAGGAGGTAAGATTACAGGACTACAGTGGGTCTGTTCTGGTCTTGGAATCTGAGTCTGTGTTTTATGTTAAAAAGCCAGTTCTTTTCTGCCCAATTTTCCTGAAAGACACTATGGATGACTGGAGAGCTAGAGCATTTGTTATCAGAAACACCAAGCAAGTGAAACCTGATCAACTGAGAAGGGAAATAGTTTTTATTAATCTTCACCCTAGCACTCATGTATGGAATGAGAGAGCTTTGGGCATACATTTTTGATCTCCAGGGAGTCCGACAGCAAAACTGGAGAAGATCAGACTTGGTGTTCGTTTTTTTTTTTTTTTTTTTTTTTTTTTTACAAATATCAGTTCTCCTCCCTCCTTTTGAAAGAAAGAAAATCCTTTCAGGACAGCTTTATACATTATAAAGAAGAACTAAAAAACATAAATCCTCTTTGGCTTTTTTGGCAAGCTTTCTTTAACAGATTATGATAACAGGTTCCTCTGAATTTGTATTTAGCTTTGCTATTCTACAGATACCAAAGCTATATACTGCTCTTGGTATGCACATGTATCTTCTGATTATGAAGGAGTGGAAGTAGTATGCCTGGATGGTCCTAAGGACCATTTAACAACCAGCAGAAGTTACCATTATTGTGCCAATCCTGCAAGCTGCTTAGCATGAGTGGACCCCTGTACTCTCGCATCTTATGAAAGTCACTGGGCATGTATCTGATAATACATCATGTGTGCAGGTTTGTCAGAATATTGACCTTTAACTCTTCTTCAAGCTCTTAGTTTTCACCTAAACATGACTGTAAAATGTTTTTCATGTGTACAGAGAGGGTTGCCAGGTGTCCGGTTTTCAATCGTAAGGCCTGGTGGAAAAGGGACCCTGGAGGATCCGGTCAGCACTGCTGACTGGGCCGTTAAAAGTTAAGTTGGTGTGGCTGGCAGGCTCCCTACTTGGCTCCTCGGAAGTGGCAATATGTCCCTGGGCTCCTAGGCAGATGTGCACTCTGCGCGCTGCCCCCACCTCGAGTGCTGGATCCACAGCTCCCATTGGCCAGGAACCATGGCCAATGGGAGCTGCGGGGGTGGCACCTGTGTGTGGATACAGGGCATAGAGCTGCCTGGCCACCCCTGAACCTGGCCACCCCTGAACCTAGGAACTGGACATGCCGGTTGCTTCTGGAGCCGCCTGAGATAAGCGCCGCCCAGAGCATGCACCCCTCATCCCCTCCCACAACCCAACCCCCTGCCCCATCCCAGAGCCCCCTCCTGCATCCTGAACCCCTCATTTCTGGCCCCCACCCCAGAGCCTGTATCCAACTGGAGCCCTCACCCTCTCCTGCATCTCAACCCGCTACCCAAGCCTGGTGAAAGTGAGTGAGTGTGTGAGGGTGGGGGAGAGTGAGGGACAGAGGGGGGGGGATGGAGTGAGCAGGTGGTGGGGCCTCAGAAGGGAAGGGGCGGGACCTACCAGAAGGGCAGGGCAAGGGTGTTTGGTTTTGTGCCATTAGAAAGTTGGCAACTGTATGTAGGGACTTAGTTTAACTTTTGAAGTATGTGTAGAATTTTTGTTCATATTAAGGAGAAATATGTATGCACATGAAGGAGAGAGTATACCCCTAAGTCCCATGACACAAATCATTGTTTTTCCATTGTATTGGTGCTCATTACTCTTAATGCCTCTTTTGTATTTTTACAGGATTCTTCAAGATGAATACTACAGAAATCAATTCATTCACCATGACCCCATTAGGTTTTATACCAGATTTCAAAAATGCCACCCTTGTACCTGTCAATGAGACTGCGTGTGAAAACTGGAGTGAGGTTCATCATCTGGTTTTTCATGTGGCAAATATCTGTTTTGCAGTTGGATTGGTTATTCCAACCACTTTGAATTTCCATATGATTTTCCTGCGAGGCTTGCTTGCTACAGGTAGGCCAAACAAAATTTACTTTTTACAACTTTGTGGCTGAAATTCCATTTACTGACCAATAGAAAGTAGGGCTGTCAAGCAATTAATTGCACAATTAAACAATAATACCACTTATTTAAATATTTTTGGATGTTTTCTACATTTTCAAATATATTGATTTCAATTACAGCACAGAATAAAAAATGTACAGTAGTCTTTTTTATTACAAGTATTTGCACTGTCAAAAACAAAAGAAATAGTATTTTTCAATTCACCTAATAAAAGTACTGTCGTGCAATCTCTTTATCATGAAAGTTGAACTTACAAATGTAGAATTATGTACAAAAATTTTATTTTTGAATGAAATCTAAAATTTTAGAGCCTGCAAGTCCACTCAGTCCTACTTATTCAGCCAATCATTAAGACAAACAAGTTTGTTTACATTTGCAGGAGAAAATGCTGCCCGCTTCTTGTTTACTGTAGAAGAGCAGACTCACCCCTGCGGCACCTCCTGCTGGTCTCTGTTGGGAATTAGCTTGGCCAGCCTTGGAGCGCCCTCTGCAGGCCAGTGATCCGCCTTGCCGCTGGCCCCGTGTCCCTCCCAGGACCCCGGTGCCCCTTTTCTCTGGGTGCTGCCCCCTGGCAGTAACCCCTCAGTCTTAGGGTCTCCCCTCCCCAGGGAACCCCCACCCACTATCCCCACCTCGCCTCAGTATACGGATACTGCCAGTCATTGTCTAGCCCCCACACCCTGGGGCAGACTGCAGTATCAGCCTACTCATCACAGGCAAGGTTGGGTTTGGACCTGCTGCCTTTGCCTACCCCTGGGCTGCCCTCTGCAACCCCCAGTACCTTTTAGCCCAATGCTAGGCCGCAGCCTGGAGCTTTCCAGGCTGGAGCTCCCCAGCTCCTCTGCCTTTCCCCAGCCCTGCTCCACTCAGGTACTCTGTCTCTAGCTCCCTGCAGCCAGGCCCTTCTCTCTCTGAATACAGAGAGAGACTGTGTCCTTGCTCCTGGCTCCCAGCCTTTATAGGGCCAGCTGGGCCTGACTGGGGCGTGGCCCAGCTGCAGCTACTTCCCCAATCAGCCTAGCAGCTTTTAGAGCTGCAGCCCTCTCCAGGGCTGCTTTCAAGCCCTTCCAGGCAGGAGCAGATGTCCACCCCGCTACATTTACAATGTCACCTGAAAGTGAGAACAGGTGTTCGAATGGCTCTGTTGTAGCCGGAGTCTCAAGATATTTACGTGCAGATGCACTAAAGATTCATGTGTCCCTTCATACTTCAACCACCGTTCCAGAGGATGTGGGTCCGTGCTGATGACGGGTTCTGCTCAATAACAATCCAAAGCAGTGCGGACCGACGCATGGTGAGATTCCCCCCTAGCAGAAGGTTGATTTTCTTTTTTGGTGGTTCGGGTTCTGTAGTTTCCGCATTGCAGTGTTGGTCTTTTAAGACTTCTGAAAGCATGTTCCACACCTTGTCCCTCTCAGATTTTGGAAGGCACTTCAGATTCTTAAATCTTGGGTTGGTAAGAAATCTCACATTGGTACCTTCTTTGTGTTTTGTGAAATCTTCAGTGAAAGTGTTCTTAAAATGAGCATGTGCTGGGTCATCATCCAAGACTGCTATAACATGAAATATATGGCAGAATGTAGATAAAACAGAGCAGGAGACCTACAATTCTCCCCCAAGGAGTTCAGTCACAAATTTAATTAACACATTATTTTTTAAGTGGAGTCATCAGCATGGAAGCACGTCCTCTGGAATGGTAGCCAAAGCGTGAAGGGGCATACGAATGTTTAGCATACCTGGCACATCAATGCCAGCCATAAAAGTGCCATGCCAAATGCCTGTTCTCACTTTCTGGTGACATTGTAAATAAGAAGAGGGCAGCATTATCTCCTGTAAATGTAAACAAACTTGTTTGTCTTAGCAATTGGCTGAATAAGAAGTAGGACTGAGTTGACTTGTAGGCTCTGAAATTTTTACATTGTTTTGTTTTTGAGTGCAGTTTTGTAACAAAAAAAAATCTACATTTGTAAGTTGCACTTTCAGTACAAAGATTGCACTGCAGTACTTGGATGAGGTGAATTGAAAAATATTATTTTTTGTTTATCTCTTTTACTGTGCAAATATTTGTAATAAATAATATACACTTTGATTTCAATTACCACACAATACTAGATATAGATATAGATAGTAGACAAACATCCAAAATATTTAATAAATTTCAATTGGTATTCTATTGTTTAACAGCGCAATTAAAACACTGATTATTTTTTTGAGTTAATAGCATGAGTTAACTGCGATTAATTGGCAGCCCTAATAAAAAGTATTGTCCTAGACTCGCTTGTCTTCCATTGGTGGTATTTCAACATATTTTAATTGTTTTATTTTGTTGGAGGTGTGTTAGCATGATTTGGGGCCTGGTCAACACTCTGACATTGCAGAACTTATTTGGATAAGGTAATACAGACCCAGTTTCATAAAACTCCACAACAACTGCATATAGAATTTTGAGCATCTGTGCAGTTGCTGAAACATCTGACTGTGTGGAAGGGTAGGGTTTGTTTATGTGATGTGGGCTATTTTGTTTTGTTTTCCCTTTCTTTGTCTGTTTTTTCTCCACTTTCTCTTAACTTATCAGAAAAAAAAAATCTATGCTTGGACAAAGTATGGAAAAAAAATTGGCCCCAAAATTTTTTGTTATGAGTAAATGAAAAAAGTGGAGCTCAATTTAAATTATAGCAAGATAGACTTGTACCTTCTACAATAGAAATCTCTTGCACTCTCAGACCACTGATATAATAGTAAATATCATCTACACCTACAATATTTAAGTTTTTTTCCTTGGAGAGCTTCATGTAGTGACTAGCCCCAACTCTTCTTAAAATATGAGTGGAGTGAAGCGTGAACATATACTATTAAATGTATTTTCTTGAGGAGGACTAGCTTTCAGCTCAAGCTGAACACTGCTAAAACAGATCTCTTCATCTTAACTCCCCCCTTCGCCCGCTTCCCCTTTCCCCCCCCCCGTTACCTCCTTTCTTGGTCACTGTAGATCACGCCACCATCCTGTCTGTCGCTCTGGCCCATACTGTGGTATCCTCTCCAACTTCTCTAGGCCTTCATGTCCAGGCTACGTCTAAAGCTTGCGGATTCATTTTGCCTAACATTTCTAAGATATGGTCTTTCCTATACACCCACACATCTAAAATGCTCATCCAGGCTGTTATCTTGCTTCTTGATTACTGCAACATCTCAGAAGTTGTCACTGGCCTTGACAAGTGCAGACTTGCCCCACTCATTCATTCAAATGATGCTGCAAAGATAATTTTCCTAGCCTGTTGCTTTGACCATACTTGCCCTTCTCTGTTGCATCAAACATAATCCACTTGTCACTTTCAAGACCCTTCACAGCTAATCAAAGCCTGCCTGTCATCTTTCATTTTCTACTGAAATATTCACTCCCATCTATCTGTGATGCCAGCCTCCATTGCCCACTTACAAAATTTTCAAACAAGTATCTTTGTGCTTTCTCCCATGCTACCCCACCTGCTTGGGAGGAGCTTCCTCTAAACATCTGTAAAACTAACTCATTATCTTTCTAATTCCTCCTTAAAACTCTCCTTTTCCATGAAGCCTGCAAAAAACTTGACAAGCATTAGCTTCTGGCATGCTAAGACTGCTGCCTGTCATGCTGGCTAATATTGTCTCATTCTTTCCTTGCATTCCCCTGCATGTCTCCACCTGTTGACTCTTGTGTTATACTTAGATTGTAAGCTCTTTGGGACAGGGATTATTTTTTTTTTTTCAATTCTGTTCATACAACACCTAGTGCAATGGGGTTCTGTTCCATGATAGGGCATTATGGAAATACAAATAATTAATAACATTCCAAGTCTAATACTATTGTAATGCAAAGCGCTAACTAGAATTTCCTTTTTCTGATAGTCAAAAAAGCAATTTATGGTTGGAGTCTTGGCCTGATTCATTAAATGCCCTGACTAACATCTGGGCTATTGTATTTAATAAAGATGTAGTTGGATTCAGAACCGTGCAGTACAATGCACTTGGCAATCTTAAATGCTCTGAGAAAATAGAATTCTCCTGCTCTTACATTATCTGACAGCATTAAGAATGGATGCTTCTCTTTGTTCTAGCATTTCATTTCATTCGCTGCTAGCTTAGAAATAGTGTTAGCTTTAAAGCTAGGGTGAAATCCAGGACCCATTGATGTCAAAAGGGGTTTTGCCATTGACTTGAATAGGGCTAGGTTTTTACTACTGAAGTATTGTAAGCGCTTCATGACAGTAGGTGATGCCAAAACTTTGTTTTCAGCGGCATTGTTAGGAAGAGTTCAAACATGATTTGAGTGGGGCCAAACTATGTTTGTAAAGTCTTAACCTAAATCACTTACAGGGTTCCTGAACTATATACCATCGTACTGTATGTAGAACCCAAGTCTTCATGACCCATTGAGGAAGTGTTGTGAAAAGTTATGACCCTGTAAGGTGTATTTTGAGAAATATCCCTTTTGTTATTTTTACAATATAGAACTTCTATATTGTAAAAATATTGTAAAAATAACAAAAGGGATATTTCTCAAAATACACCTTACAGGGTCATAACTATAATAGAACATGTTCAGTGTTTGAGAGAATCTATTTTAATTACCAGACCTTTATGTTGCTTGTATTAAGAATTTTACAGTAATTGTTCCATATCTCTTTTCACACTTACAAAAGGCTATTTTACCAAAATGAGTTTCTCTAATGGCCAGGAACCTCAATTTTTGCATGACCTTGAACTCTCATTTAAAATCAACAGGAGTTCTGCATGTGGAGGGTTCACTGATTTCAGCTCTAGTTTGAATTTTGAACTGGCAAACGTATGGAGTATGAATTTTTCAAGCTGAGATGACAACTTGAAAGAGTAACGTTGTAAGAGAAAGATGCATAATTAAGAACTTTATCTTGTTTAGCAGCTCTCACTAATCAGAGCAGAGGAATAATTATGTAGAAGATACTCATCAGTCATTCTGTTTTCCTAACCAATGATATCTTGAACAATGGCATAACTCACAGCAGGAAGCCAGATTCATAACATATATTATGGTGGTGGTTCTTTTAAAACTGAAAATCTCTGGATGGCATTTAGGGAGCTCCAGGCAAATAGTGTTTGCTTATTCATGTTTTGTTTGTCTACAGGCTTCAGCCCTAGAAATGAATGCTTATTATTTTTGTCTCAAATCTGTGTAATGCCAGCTGTATGAAGCAGTTGTGTTTTAGTTAAAATGCTTCTTGTAACTAAATAAAATTAACTGTTACACTTGCATTTACTACAACATTGCTTACCTTGATCCATATTACCTAACTCTGTTGAAACTTGTGAAATGCATCACTTCTGAACATAATCACTGTAATCTAAAATAGGGATCTGTATTATCTATATCAAAAGAATGAAGTGTGTGTGTGTGTGTGTGTGTGTGTGTGTGTGTGTATGTATATATATATATATATATATATATATATACAAAGTGTATAAAATATATAATATAAAAAAAAATCTGGGAGAAATATTTTTATACATTATTGAACTATATCATTTAACTTCCTATTTTATTTTTGACAGGATGTGTACTTTTCATCATCTGGGCTATGCTGTACCGTTGTGCCTTGGATATAATGATCTGGAATTCAGTGTTCTTGGTTCTCAACTTCTTGCATTTTATATATCTACTGTACAAGAGAAGACCGGTATGTAAAGAGTATAATCACTACAAAGTCCTGTGGCTGTGCTTGGGCAAGGCTCCCATTGAATTCTATTGGAGCTTTGCCTGGGTGGGTCAGTTATCAACCCCAGCAGGTACCAGCTATCATTAGCATGATTTTAGCCTGATAGTTGTTTGTTTGCATCACTCTCTGATATAGTACTTCCATTTTAAAACTTTTTTTTTTTTTTTTTTTGTTCAATTATTTTTTTTTATTTATTTATCTAAATGAAAAGGACATCAATTTCAAAAGTGACTAGTGGTGTGTGGTTTTTTTTTTTTTTTTTTTTTTGGATGCACAACTGGAACATTTCAGAGGAGCCAGATTTTTCAGAGGGTAGGTGCTCAAAACTTCTGAAAATCAGGTCCACATATCTCAAGGTGGACATCCATAACTAATCATTCCTGGAAAATTAAGCCAGGACCTCTATGGGGATAAAACTTCTCTTGCTTAGTTTAAACCCAGAAGTATCTTGTGTATGGAGGAGGTGGAGAGTACATTTTGGCTCTTTATAAACATGGAAATAAATGTAGGTGTCCATATACAAACAACTTTAATGTTCTTCTTGCAGTCCATTCATACAAAAATACCTTTTTGGTCCATGTGTCCTCTCTCTCCCTGCCCTGCCTTGCGGAGGGAAGGAAATCCATAAAGAAAACCCTGGTCAGACCCTGCAGATGGGAAAAGTGATAAGTGAAATACTACTCCCTTCTCTGTCAAATATCTGGGATGCCCAGGAATGAGCAGGAAAAAGTGGGCAGGGTGACAGAAGAGCCACATCCAGTAACATGATTCCTGCCTTTAACCAGTTTGGAGCATGGGGATAATTTGCAGGTCAAATCAGCAAAGTTAAAGCTGCCTAAACTCTGGCCGTGCACCCTGTGACTCCCCTCCATAGAATCAAAGGGAACAGCTAGGGGAGTGAGCCAATAATCTGGAAGGGTCTGCAGAGTAGTGTAGAACAAGAGTTAATCAACAGACTTGAGCACAGTCACTGAGGTTGGAGGCCAGGATCCTTGGGAAGCCCCATTCCTTTATCCATCCTGCCCCTGATATCTTCCCATTCTGCATGTACACAAATTCAATGGATGGGTGGGAATAAGGGTTGGAATGTGTCTATTCCATGGCTCCAGTGGACCACAGGAGTGTTTCTATTATTTTGTTCCCCTTACGTATGCTTTTTTTGTGTATGACCATTTATTTTTAAATTTTAGCACATAGCTAGTCCTGGCTGCAGCATCTTGCCTCCTTTTCAGAAACATTTAGGATTCGAAAGAAACAGGGAAAATTCTTTTTTGCTCACTTAGATTTTGTACAATATAAAGTCCAATCTTAAGAGAAATTACAGGAATATACTTGGGGCAAAGTAAAGCTTTATCTAGCTTTGTCTAGAAGCATCATCAGTCACTATTTTAAAACTAGATATATTGCTCTACTGCTAACTGTCCATTTAGTTACATGCAGTATATTGAGCCATTTGGCCTATCCAAGATGAGCCTAAATTGCCCATTGCCTTTAAATTGAAGAGATTTTAAAAAGGGAGTAGGCACATTTGTTTCTTACTGTTCTGCCTGAGATGCTTGCACAATTATTTTAGAAAACCTTTCTTTATTGATCTGTTTATACATAGTCTTCAGGATACAATACTATGATGAAACTGCACCTTTGCCTATAAACTCAGATATTCTGTCTGTTATGCCACACCCATTACTGTATCTAAGCACCTACACAAATAATTTTCATATGTATTATGTTTATAGTCTCCCAACATGGATGTCATAACCCCCAGAGGTGTCCCTAACACATGTAATGACCATCTTACCCTTCTATTAGATTAGGGGAGGGTGGTAGATCCTGGTATTGAAAACAGAGAACCACTGTATTATATGATAAAGTAACAAAAGGCCTTCTTGCAACAGATGTATGCAAAGGGCCAGGATTAAAATAGCAGTAAAAACTTTAACTCTGACCTGAGTGACTAAAATCTGAGACTTAATGGAATGCTAACACAGGGTTTTTTGTGCTATAGTAATAATTTGACTGTATAGAAGTGCCAGAAAATCTGGCATCCATTAGGGACTTCACTTTTGCTATTGGTCTTGCAGGGAAGGCACTCAAATACTACAGTAATGGGCAGTAGTATAAAACACGATGATAGATATTGTTTATTTAGGTCCAAATAGAGAATATTTGAGTTTGAAACTCAATTTATAAACTACCAGTCAATGAAAGTGTTAGGAAATTATTTTTAAACAGGTGGGAGGGAGGGGGAACTTTGCTAAATTCCTCTTCTGGGTCTAGTTGGCTGGTTATGCCCAGATTGGGAAAAGTGCAGCTGGCTATTCATATGTGCACTGTCCCTTGAGTGCGTTACAGTTGACAACTGCCTTTCAGTGGCGTCTGAAAGGAAAATGATTGTTTTTTTTAATTTTCATCTTCAAATTGCATATGGTAATAATGCAATGCAGCTGGGACTTCTAAGAGCAGGCTGTATTTGATTTTTAATAGCAGCTAGTCCTTTGGATGGAATTGAGTATTCAGGAGAGATGTATCACTACATAAGAAACTCCATTGAGCCCTAGTCTTAGGTTGCATTTTTAAACGGTGACAAGCATTAGTGTCCAGCTTTCTTCACACCCCAATGGGACACCTCTCACACATTGGCAAGAACATGTGTTTTTGATTTTGTCACCTTGTCTTTCTACTCTTCTGTCTATCTACATCCCTTTGATAGCACCCATCTCTGGTGTTTGACCACTCGCACTTGCTCTCTTAGCGGTAAAATACACACAAGCAAATACTGACCATGAAATTGCTCATTTCACCTCTGTTGCTAGGTGACCATCTGTCTCTCTCATACAGACAATGCTGTATCCACCCGTGGTCTAGGGGGAGAGGCAGTTAATCAAAATAGCTAAATAAGCGCACAGTAATGGAAGATGCTGTCTCTGTTTCTTGAGCCAAAGAGAGTATTACAGTTAAGTGTTAATAAATGAATAAGGACCACTTATCACTAATAATATTTGTGACTGACCATGTGGTTGTTTGAAAAGTGTGAGTTGGGAGTGCTTTGTTCCAGGTGAGCCTTGAGTGGTTGATTGGAGGGAAGGCTTTGAGCTGGGGCAACTGCTTCAAGCCAGAAGCCTTATAAAAAAAGCAGCCAGTTGCAAACCGAATGAGTGGCAAACAGAGAAAGTTCGCCTGGGGAGTTTCCAACAAGTTTTTTGCCTTTCAGGCTTCTGTGAGCAGTAAATACAACATCTAAAGAGGCTCTTAGAAGGAAGACAATGTGGATAGTGAACGATCCGTTGTTGTGACCTGCACAGGATATGCCATGCTTGTTTTCTCCCAGAGGATAGAAGCGACTTGGTCTGTATGAAGTGCAAACTAGTGTTCATATTGGAAGAGAAGGTTAAAGGACTAGCTACCCAAGCATCAACCCTGCGATGAATCAGAGAGAATGCTGACTTTCTGGATAGAAGACAGCATTTGGTACTGCAGGCACAGCATGCTGAAGAATCAGAGAGGGCAGTGCAGAACGGGGAAGAAAATTGGCAGCATGTGATCTCCAGAAGAAAGAGGAGAACTCCTGTACCCCCAATGCAGATAGAAGTAGAAACCATTTTCAGGCTTTCTGCACAGGTACTATGGCAGAGAATGGTTTGAAAGAGTTATCTGAGGGAAGGGATCAGAGGGAGACCCCATCGACCAGAAGGCATGGGAAGCATTGTCCTAGGGATGGGGGTTCCACGACCACCACTCCCAAGAGGAGATTTTGGGGGGGAGGGGTGGTCGGGGGCTCTCTCCTAAGGGGGAACGGAGTCATCCATCTAGACCAGGAAACTCTGTGTGCTGCTTGCCTGGAGCTAGAATTCAAGATGTGACTGAGTGTCTGCTGAGACTGATCAAGCCCTCGGACTGCTACCCCTTCCTACTTCTCCATGTGGACACCAGTGATACTGCCAAGAATGACCTTGAGTGGGTCACTGCAGACTACATGGCTCTGGGAAGAAGGATAAAGGAGTTTGAGGCGCAAGTAGTGTTCTCGTCCTTCCTCCCTGTTGAAGGAAAAGGCCCAGGTAGGGACTATCGAATTGTGAAGGTAAACGCGTGGTTGTACAGGTGGTGTCTGAGAGAGGGCTTTGGATTCTTCGACCATGGGATGTTCCAGGAAGAAGGATTGCTAGGAAGAGAGAAGAGCATTTTGGCAAGCAGCCTTGCTAATCTAATGAGGAGGTTTGCTGTGGGATGGTGACCTAAGCCCTGAGGTAAGTGGGATACCGGGAGGAAACACAAGGAGGAGGGTGCAACAGGGGAGGCCTCCTGATCCCTACTGAGAAAGCCGGGCAATCAGCTAGTTATCTTAGGTGCCAGTACATGAATGCAAGAAGCCTGGGAAATTAACAGGAAGAATTGGAAGACCTGGTCAGTCAAGGAACTAGGATGTGATTGGAATAACAGACTTGTGGAGTAACGCACATGTCTGGAGCACTGTCATGGATGGGTATAAACTGTTCAGGAAGGACAGGTGGGGAAGAAAAGGTGGAGGAGTTGCACTGTATGTAAGAGCAGTATGATTGCTCAGAGCTCCAGTATGAAACTGGAGAAAAGCCTGTTGAGTCTTTGGGTTAAGTTTAGAGGTGAGAGCAACAAGGGTGATATCGTGGTGGGTGTCTGCTACAGACCACCAGACCAGGAGGATGAGAGTTGTCTGAAGAAAGCAACAGAAGTTTCCAGATCACAGGCCCTGGTTCTCATGGGGGACTGCAATCACCCTGACTTCTGTTGGGAGAGCAATACAGCAGTGCACAGACAATCTAGGAAGTTTTTGGAGAGTGTTGGGGACAACTTCCTGGTGCCAGTGCTGGAGGAACCAACTAGGGGCTGTACTCCTCTTGACCTGCTGCTCACAAACATGGAAGAATTGGTAGGGGAAGTAGAAGTGGCTGGCAACCTGAGCAGCAGAGACCATGAGATGGTTGAGT